AGAGAGAGAGAGAGAGAGAGAGAGAGAGTTATAGACAGAGAGATAGTGAGTATTAGGTGCACTAAAAATATTGTTATGCTGTGAGAAAAGGTAACACCAATTTGTGGACTGAATTTCATATTAATTTTGTTGACAACCTTTCTCTCAGTGATAGATAACTGTTGCCTCTCCTCCAGTCTCTCGCAAATCAAAAACTCTTTTATTTCAATTACTTTTTTTGTTGCTATTATCACTAAATACATATCTCTAATATTACCTGATATGGCTGTTTTGCTATTTGAATTAATTTATTTCTATGTTAAATTGAAGTTAATTTTTTTTAAATCAAATTATTAATTAAACAGTCTATTCATATAATAATAATAATAAATTTTGTTGCATCTGTTTTTGTTATTTTTGCCATTGCATCCATTTGTCTCAATATTTAAACAAAAAATATTTCACTGTCTCTATGTTTTGTATATATGTGTCTGTGTTTTGTATTCAAAACTATAGTTATTCTCATAATATATATATAAACTGCATTTACGGTCATTTGTCAAACCAAAAAAATCAAATAATAAAATCAAAAATTCTGTTCAAACAGACATTGAAATACTATCATACGGTAAATGAATGAATTTAATACTGGAAAACATTGCAATGCATTGATTGTTCACACGGTTTACGCAAATATGTGCAAAACATGTACAGTGTGTGTGTGTGTGTGTGTGTGTGTGTGTAGTGTAGTGTAGTGTACTACACATACCTACTTTCTAAACCATACCTACTGTTTAATCATATTTTTATTTATTACCTTAGTGTATGATATAATAATAATAAATCACTGATAACACAAATACAAATAGGCTATAAGTTGCAGTAAATATTATTATAGAAACTATTTTATTTTGAATATAATAATAACAAATTTATACAAATAATATGAGAAATAAGGCAAATGTTTCCATTTGTAGAATATTGCAAATTATGATATATTCATACATATGTATATGAGATATAATTTATATCCATGTTGTTTATGACAATAATTGATGAAAAGGTACAGTATTGTTATATATTATATATATATATATATATATAGACACCAGTGTCTTGAAAAACAGGATCCAATCGATTGGTTATATATTGATATCTATGTTGAAACCAATTGGTTAACCATAAGTACAATACATAGAAATATAAACACTTAAGATGAAAAAGTAATCAAATCAATAAAACATAAAATTTCTTAAATATAGATATAAATATAATAATAGTATAATATAATCAATAAATAATACACTGAATCATTTTCACTTCATTTTTATTGTTTATTATCACAGAATTAACATGAGATGCATTTACAGCAGTTTTTTGTATTATAACAATTTGTTTTAACATTTTTTATTTCAATTATAGATATAACGCCAAAAAATATGTTTTGTTTTATAATATACAATTACATTTTTTAAACAATTATATATAAATATATATATAACTTATTACATAATGATGATGATAATAATAATACTATAATAGTAATAATATAATAATCCATATTATAATATATATTTATGTTATATGCAAAAAATTAAAAGAAATAAATTGAAAATAAAAGTAAAATTACAAATGATTTTTATAACATTTTTATCATTTTAAGTTTTTTAAGGACGAATAATAGTAATTATAATTAAAAAATAACTTCAATGCATAATAATTAATATATGGTTTAAATTGCAAAATACCCTCGTTTTTGTTTTAATAATTAAAATTAAAATTAAAACCATTTTTATCATTGCATTTTATATATGTTTTTTGTAACAATTTTTTTGTGTATGGCATTTTATTAATAAAAATTAATATATATATATAAATGTATCATACGTATATAATAATAATATATTATATAATTAAAAATATAAATCTCGTTTTTTAAACATTAAAATCGTTACAAGTATTTTAAACAGAGATAGAAAAAAGTAGTAACAATAATAATATTAAATAGTAATAGTAATAATAATGGTAATAATGTTGTAACAGTTATAAACCCAATCATTAGATTATTTTGTGTGTGTATAATATGTATGTGTTATGTTTCAAAATATAATATAATATATCAGTCATTATATTGTAGCAAATACTCATATATCAAAGTAAAAACAAAAAAAAATATAATAATAATAAAAGATAATGTTTAGTTAATTATTAATTAAAAAGACTCATTATTATTATTAATAATAATACAAATAAATTACAAATAAACACAATTTTTACAGTTATATCAATTATTTTATTTCATTATTATTAAAAAATGGGAATGTTTTTGATTGGTTTTTTCATAATAACTTGCAATTATTTAATAAATTGATTTTTATCATTTATTTATAATGTAATTGTGATTTTAAATATATATTTTATTAAATGAATGGTCTCATGTTTTTTCAAATATTTCATGTATTTATATATAAATATATATAAATATAATAATTATAACAATTTTTTGTTTAATTACAGTTTTAACAAAAAAACCACATAAAATTGTTATTATATAAATTATCCAGTTATTGAATAATATTATATATATATCTCATTATCATAATTATATATATATGTACTTTTATTTGTATCGTATATTCACAATACGTATCTGATAAGTAATACATTATATCGTAATATATAATAGTAATTAAAGCATTATTTGCCAATTTTTGCACTTTATGTATTACTTGATATATATACTAAACATCTATATAAAATATGTATATGATTATGACATACAATATAATTGCAATTACATTAAAAATATAGTTTTTCCATTGGTTTTTATGCTCAATAAAAAGCACAATTCATTTATAATAATAAAATTATTTTTCTTAATAATTATTTTTATCATATTTTTTAATCAAAATTATATAACATTTTTTAATAATATGAAAAAGACTATATACAAATTTGGCGTAAAAGTGGATATTTTTCACAAAAAATAAATCATACAATTTGTCCACTTTTTCAATTGAAAATGCTTTACAATTTATTGGTGTTTATCAATAATGATATTTCGTTTATTATTTATAAGTTAAATAATTAATATATTTTTTAAAAATTATTACACATATTTTTTAACTATCAAGTTTTCAAACAATTATTCAACTTATAAATATTAAAACAAAACATTATAACCACCAATATTACAAACAAATATACATTTGACGCGCATAATATCAAACTAATAGATATTTTTATAATGATATTACTTAATAATAATCAATAATTATAATAATAGTATATAAACTTAAGGAGTGTATGTGAACTGTATGTGCATTAATATAGCACTAATCAATTAATTATATATATATAGTAATAATGATGACAAATATAGACAAATAATATAACAAATATTTGGTATTCAATCTTAAAATTCGTTACATATTTAATATAATATCGCATAATATGTTGCAATATGTTTGCAAATTGTATTTTTTTAACAACAAATATAATTATTTGACTTAAAAACAGATTATATTTCATAAATCAAATTAAAAGGCAGTTTTGGTTTCAAAAAAATAAATGATAATTGTTTAGTAAAAATAAGATAAACATAAATACAATATTTTCTTATTTTTTCTATAGTGTATGATATAAGGTAACTATTTTAGGTAATGTTATTTTGAATAAATATATAATTATCAAAATTATACTGTATTTCATTTTTTTCAATATATATAATAATTTAATATATAATATATATCTATTAAAAATAAGAAATATTAAATTGTAATTAAAATAAAGGAAACAAATAAAAAAAACAGTGAGTAATAATAATAATATAATTATGTATGAGTGAAAAGTATGTGCAATTGAATGTTTACACCAAATCTATTTTTAAACCAAAATTTTTTAAATGTTTTTTTAAATTTTAAGTAATACACAAATTTAACAATTATTATTATATTTTTAAGCCTATTTTCAATTTATATATACTGTATATGTGTGTAGTATTTGTATATAAACTATTACTACTAATAAAAATTAACTTTTAGTATAACCTGGCTAAGAGAAACTCACAAAAAAATTTGTACACATTTGCTAATAAATATTTAAAAAACATTTTAAACACATTTTCATCTAATATTAAAGACTTTTCATTAGATAATATATATATATTAAGAGCAAAAAACTAAAAATTGTTTTTCGAGAAACTTCTCGATGAGTGCTTTCATCACTTATTTTTAATATTATTATATAATAATTATATTTTGAATGTAAAATATAATTAAAACTAAATTTATATTTTACATAAATTAACATTAAGTCATTAATTATAAATTAAAAAGAATTTAATTCTTGATCAAATTTATATAAATTTTAGGCAAATAATGTCTATTTTATAGAAAACTTTAGGAAAAAGTAATAAATTTTGATTTAAATTTAAAGAAAAAAAATTTAAGACTAATAAATAAAATATTTTTTAAATAAAATCACTAATAATGCAAAAGTAATTATCAAATTTGTATACCTCTCTCGTACGGACTGACTGACTGACAATTGAAATGTTTATCAAAAAAAAAACTGAGTTACTATTAGCCAGGAGTGTATATACATTTATATATCACACACATATACACCGATTAGACACTTATTTTTTTCAAATAAATATATAAATGTTATTTTCACGATATATAGATTTAAAAAAAAATTTAAATGATAAAACTGACCAAAAATAATAAACTTCGTTTTCAACAAATAGATTATCCATTTTTCTTGTTGTTTTTGTTGTCGTCTTCAATATTAGATATGTTGTTGCAGTTGTGTTGTCGACAACTGAATCGAAAAAATATTTATTTATTTTATTTTTTTGATGATATTTGAGGACAAAGTCTGGGTAATGAATTGTTGGTGTGGTTTATGAAAGTGAGGGTGAAGTGTGTAGTTGTTTGTATGGAAACATATTATATTCAAATTTTAAATAATATGTTGAATAAAATTTTTTTATTTGTTTTTTATTGACTGAGGAGACAGCTGTCAAACTTTGAAAAATTTATCGATGATTTTTTAAAGGATGCAATGAAGATACTTATGTAATGATAATTATTGGCCACTTAAGAAAAAGTAACGAAACAATATTATCAGCGCTCATACGGTACATGGCATCCATCCGTGGCCGCAGTGGCACGTCGTATAACAGGTGGCCGTCGGCGGTGGTGGCGGCGCCGTAGGACTCATTTGATGGTGTGTTGGCATAAATGGAGTGTAATAGTATTGAGGAGCGCCCGTACAAATCATATATGACTGGCTGTGTTGGTGCTGTTGTTGTTGGTGGTGGTGCTGGTGTTGCTCAAAGTGATGTTTGGCAGCCAGCCTTTGCTGGTCCAGATAGTAGACATAGTGTGCGAGTTCGTCGATTAGATTAAGCGTTTGGCGTCTTTCGTGTCCCATCAGACATACGGTAGACTCGTTGACCACTCGGTAAAGTGTCATCAGGTATGTGAACTTTAAATGCTCGAAACCGGAGAAATGATTGGAGAGGTAGCCCTCAAGTTTGGACCGCTGTTGTCCCAAATCACTGAAATCAATGAAAAATCGAGAGCACATGTATTTCTCTAATTTCTTTATTTTTGACTCGTCGTATGGCCGGTAATTTCTTGATAATAAATTGCAATACTTGAGTAGACCTCCGCCACGAATCTCTTCCGGATTTCGGGTAGCAATCAATTTCTTCTGTAAATGATGAAGAGCTTCGCGAAAGTCTCCGTAAACACTCTCAGCCACTACTGTCGGATAGAAATTTTCGGTAATAGACATGGATTTGGAGCACTCGTAAAACTGGAGCAATGAGTCGAGGATTATATGGAAAGAGTCGACCGAAAACTCGAACTGTCTCTTCATTACGTCGACAAACTTAATCTCAACGTTTCGACCACTTTTGTTGGACAACGAAATTAGTGACCAACGATCGCCATCAGTCACTTTTACCATTTTATGAACGTATGCCTCCTTAAGACTACATGTACTCAACCTTTTCTTGATAGTAATGTCCGGCAAGAAGTCAAGCAGAGAGTCGAGTACAGCGGCCCGAACCCGATCGAAGTTGCGGTGATTGGAGAGATCAACTCCAAAGATCAGGTCTAAGTCATTGTAAACCGAGCTTTCGGGGGTCAGTACATGACTGGCGGCGCCTCCGTTCAGTCTTATGTCCCGAATCGGCACGTTTTCTGTCTCCAGTTTGTTGCGGACCACTTGAACTAAATCTTTGAGTTTAATTTCAAGGGTCGGGAAGTTGCCTCTGCCGTGAATGGGCACCACTTCATCCATCACTCGATCCAATCGACACACCTGTTCATAGCTTAACACCGAATACCTTTCACATCTGAGGTCAACTTCTTTGCCGTTAATTATAACCATTTGGTTGTCATCTGTCAGACCGTTTGACACTAACGGTAAGTCCATATCCAGCCATTTGTTTCTCACCGAACACGACGACGACGTTGTCTTAGTGGTGGCCAACACGAGACCCGTCGTTGTGTTAATGTTGAGCGTCATCGTCACCGACGGCTCTTTGTCATCGTTGGACATTTGATCGGAAAACTCGGTGTCCGAAGAGTAGATCGAGTCAGTCGTACTCAAGTCGTCATAATATGGCAACAGTTGATGACTACCCGTGTCCTCAATAACACCGTCGGGCGACAGACACATGAAGCCGCTGTCCACTGAATGGCCGCAATCGGACAGTTCACTACTTGTATCACACATTTCTAACAATTTATTATTTATATCAAACAATCAACAAAATTAACAAATCTTTTCAACAAAATTCTTAGTATTTTCAAAAAAGCTTTATATATAACACAAGTTTAATAAAAACTTTTTTTCTTAAAAATTTATATTTAGTTATTATTAGTTAATAATAATTAATAGTTGTTTGTTGTAATTGTTTGACTGTTAATGACTGCAAATCTTATTAATTAAATAAGTTTTAAACGACAAAAAAAATCACTGAATCTTATGGTAACACAATTGCAATGGAAATGAATGAATGACTCGATTTAATAGCCAATTGTATTGACAATCAATACTTGCAGTATATATATGCTGTATATCTCTCTGTATATAACGTGTGTTCCAGTGATGGCACGACTCTACACATCTATGCTATGCCAGTGACTGAATACCAAATACAACATTCAAGTCTTTACAACCTTTAGTTTGTATGTATCAGTGTTGGAGAGGGAGAGAGAGTGAGTGWGTGTGTGTGTCTGTATGTGTATCACTCAGTATGTATATACAGTATATATGTATGAGTGTTAGTGTATGTATCTGTGTGTGTGTGTGTGTATGTGTTGTCTCAGTCAAGTGAGAGTTACTATGAGGGAGACTGCGAGTTGAGAGTAGTTGCCTAATAGCAGCACAAAAGCAATAGCACAGCACTTGTTGTAGCACTTGTGTGTGTAGTCGTAGTGCTCATACATACATACATACATACAGTACAGTGGAAGCCAACCGATTTAAGCACTGCCCCTAAAATACATACGCAATATCTATACATCTACACTGCGCTACCAGTGCTCTCTTTCTCTCACACATACATTCACGTACACACAACGTGCACACAAACATTGAGGGGGACACTAATGGGCTAACCATTGATTAAATTGTATCGTTATTTTGAAAAAAATAATTTTATTTTTAAATAACAACTATTTATCTCTATTAATCTTATGGTTAGTACAACCATTAGTTACTATATGATAGATGATCAATGGTTATGGTTATTGTTAGTATTATTATTACTAATAAAATATATTCATAAATAATAATAATATTCAATATTGGAGTCAAAAAAAATTGATTAATACTGAAATAGGAATCACAAGCAAACTGACCCCTAATACTGTCTATGAATGGAAACCTACTTTAATTATTTGTGCGATTTGTATACAATTTTTTATTGTTATTATTATTATCTTTAAAAACAAACATAAAATAAAAGTACATGTAGTGTGAATAATTTTGAACTAAACAAATATAATATATTAAATATATTAAATATTTATTATTATTTTTAAAAATCTATATATAAATATTTGTCATAAACTAAATGTTATAAAATTGTTTTTCATTATTTAAATAATATAATTGACTTAAACACTCATCTTTAAGTCAGTAGTTGTTGTTTTCCTAAACTTTATTATTAATAAATAGTATTAATAATAATAATAATAAATGTCTGTAAAAAAACTCTAACTTTTAAAACATTGAGTTTTGATATCCTTCCCGACACACAACCGGGACAATGAGTTTTTGCCGGTTATATATTGCATATGTATTCTGGCGTTTCTCTCCCTGTACTCACTTAAATCAAATCAAATAAAAGCCAAAACATTGATTTAATAAATATAATTATCATTATATACAGTATTATACTGTACTTTGTTTAATTTAATCTAAAAAATTAATTTGATTAAAAAAATTAATATAATTAATATAATAATTTTAATTTAATTTAAAAAGAATTATTAAATAAAATTATTTATATAATTTATAGAAAAAAACATTTTTTATAAATATTTTATTTAACTAACATATGGTTGAACCCCTGCAATGCTTAAGTCACCAAAAATTTTATTACAGTACATTAATATCGTACGGTACATAATGACTTATAAAAAATATAATTATTAATTAATTTTATGTGTTGCATAACACAATTTTATATTAAATATATATTTAAAAATATAGCGATTTTACAGTTCAATTATATTTATAGTGATTTTTTTGTTAATTTCATTTAAAAAAATAAGTATATAATTATGTACTCTTTTACTGTATTTAATTGACATTGTATCTTATCAAATGTCGGTATCAGCTATATTTTTATAACATTTATATATAAATATATATATATTTATTAAATCAGAAACTTTCTATTTAATATTAACAGAAATATTATTATTATTACTATTAATTATTATAAAATATGTTATTTAATTGACTTTATAAAACATATATAAATTACTRTATATTGTATATAAAAGTATATATATATATATTTTTTAAATATAAAATAGTGGAAAAATAATCAAATAAACTAATGATAATATTATTACATTTTTAGATAATAATGCCATTTTTAATTATAAAACGACATATTTTCGTTAATCAAACATTAATTTTTATTGATATATATATAAATTACATTTTATGTAATATATATTAATTGAAAAATTTTTACATTAAAAACTGTGTAATTTACAATATATAAACTTTTTTGTATATTATTTATCCCAAAACACTGTATATAATAAATATATATATACTACTACTACGACAAAAATAAGATAATAACAATGCCATTACTTTACAGTAATTTATTTTTTTAAACCCCTTTGCAATGTTATAATAATAAATGTCTGAATTATATGGGAATTCATTTCAATTGTTGTGAGATTGCATTAAATTATTATGAGCTCTAACTCTGTAAGATTATACTCTGTAGAGAGTGGGTTAGCACTACCAGCCCTTACACAACACATAATACAGTATATAACACAAAACTCTCTTAACATTTGCCGATCGAGAATATTCTTCACTCTCTCTCTCTCTCTCTCTCTCTCTCTCTCTCTCTCTCTCTCACACACACACACACACACACACACACACACACACACACACACACACACACACACACACACACACACATTTTGTGTTCATTCACTTACTTTCCAAACATATAAATACAAGTTTTATGCTAACGATATACGACTCTATGGCATAGAGTCTATGCTATACCAGTTCTAGAGTTTATTGTAATATACCATTCAAGTCACTAATAATGGGAAAGGCATAGCAACCGGCATATGACGTAACCAATGGCTTAATCAAAATATTTTGTGTTTGTTCAGACTATATATATATAAATGTAGTTTATTTTGATACATATATTTATACAGCAGATGAAGCAAATATATGGCACACAAATATACCCTATTTACCAATAGTTGTATTTTATTACCGATCATTAAATCAAAATAAATAACAAAAAATCAATCAATTGTTTATTCAATTGATTTTTTGAACGAACTTTTTTTATTACTTTTTAATTTTCACAATATATTAAATAATAATGTACTAGTACAAATAATAATGATCATGATTGTGTAATAAATTGAATAAATTAAAACTGTGCTAACAAAACATATGATATTGAAATTGATAACTTTCAAAAAAGAGTTATCATAATAAAAACATATTTTTATTTTAAAAAAAATAACTAATTATTATTATTATTATTGAAAAAAATAAAAAATACTATATGAAAATACATAAATTAATTTGACAATGAATATGTGTCACAATTGTTTACTATAAATCTTCATTTTGGTTATATAGCAATCATTTCCAGATTTGTTACACATATGCCACAGAATATATTAGTAGTGTATTATTATAGTTATTATTATTATTATTATTATTATTCTGTATATTTTATGACAGCACTATATGCACCCTAATTGATGAGTCCATACAAACATTATAGTCTATAGTATATATGATCAGTAGGTATATTCAGCTCATAATGTTTTTATTCATATAAGACAACCGCTATATTGAATGTGTATTAAGTAATCTGTTTTTATGAATTAATTGTTTTTTATATTTATTGCTACCATAGAAAACAAATATATAAATTATATATTTGTATTAATACTATAAAAAATTTAATTGCATATCAAATGAATGAATAAATATTAATCTGATTTTTATCTATGTATACTACAGTACAAGTAAATAAATATAATATATTTTTATATTTAGACTATTTTTATTAAATAATTTATTGTAAAAATTACAGCAAAAAATTAATGATATATACGATAAATATTAAAATACATAGGATTTATGGGCCACTTTTATTGATCCCCAAAATATCACATCATATATTATCATTATATTAGTATACAGTACAATATTATACTATATATATACAGTATATATAATGTGTATTTATATTAGATACTATTGAACATTATTATATTAAACTATATTGATCTAATTATCTATTATTACGTAAATAAACATATTGTGATGTATATTATTACATAAAAGCAATTATATTGAATACTCTGTTTGTAAACCAAAATATTGTGATTGTATTTATAACTACAAACAGTTTTTACTATAAATGTCAGAACACAGACATAATTATGAGCATAATTTAAATCTGTTTTATTATTTTTAAAATAATTTTTTTTAATACTTAAGGACTTTTTGAAATTATCATCAAATAACAAAAAGTAAAATTCAAAAAGTACTTTTTTGTTAAGTCATAACATTTGTTATACTAAACTTAACAATAAAAATATTTAAAAATTAAAAAAACTATTGTTTTGGTTCATTTATTTTTAGTAAATAAAAGTTGTGTGTGTGTTTAGATGTAATGTTTAAAWTAATGTTTGAATCAATGTTACGCTTATTATGTTTACCTATTTTTTATTAATATATACTATAATTTGTTAACATCTAATTCAAAATAAATTTARAATATTTTTGTATTCTTGAATTGTTTATTATTTAGAAATATTATCAATTTATGTATTTGTTTTCTAAAATGTTTTTAATATAATTCWAAATTACTTATATTTACAAACTTAAAAATTCAAAGTAAAAGTTAAGTCAATTATGTTTATTGATTTTTATTTTCCCTTAACATAGATAAATATAATATAGTTGATAGTGAAATTCAAGTCAAATAAATGCAAAAAATGTCATTACTTACAAAATAATATCATATAAGTAATATTACATTACTGTAATCTTTTAACCAGTAAGCATATGAAACATTTTTTATTTTAATA